TCACGTGACATAGTCAATAAATAGAAGAGCATAAAACATATTATATTTGCATTTTTTAAGACAATCATCAACCCCGATTGAATCTGGTCAGACCACATTGACCCACGACCCAAGAGTTTCTCCGATCGGTCGCCGGTCCAGTTTTAAAAACAATGCCACTAAAACATTATAGCTCACAGTTAATCAAAATTCGTTATGAAAAACGATCATCGATCAAAAATATTTCCGACGGATACTTATCGACGAATATTTAGTTGTCAAATGAGTTGTCGGAAAATTTCTTATGGACTTTTCAACACGATTCCAACAAATATATCATCAGTAATCCGTCCAGATTTTATGCGGATTACCGATAAATGTGATTTTTGATCACTAGAGATATATACACGCGCGTTGTGCGATGTTAAAAAAAATATACCGTAGAAATTCGATAAACTAATAATTTAATATTCGATAAATCAATTAAATATTTAGTAAAACTAATATCTTTATAAATTAATAATTTTATAATTAAGTAAATATTATTGATCTGACAACATTAATTTATAGAATTTTACAGTTTGTTTAGCTTTGTTGTTATTTACTGGTGTCATATTTAAAAATTTTGTATTGTTCTAATTTTTTTTTATTTTCCAAGGTGATTCAAATTTTTATATTTGATAATGTTTAGAACAAATATTACAATACAAAATAAAATAAAAACTTTAGAACTCTACAAAATTTGCGGTCGCCGGTCCGGTTTTTGTCTCTGAACAGATTTCAATTTCTTTTCAGATACAAGAAAAAACTTTAGAACAAATTTCCGGTCATTTTTTTTTGTCTCTGAAAAGAAATTGAAATCTGCGTCTCTCGTCTCTCCAACTCCGCCACCCAAATCGAAACTCAGCTTGTCTACTAATTATTTTCGAGAAGTCTTTGTTGTCCGTTTATTACGTTGGTGGAGTTCCGTGACTGTGACTGCTTCATACTCCTTTGGTAGTGTTTTCTTTTATTTATTTATCAATAAATTGAGAATTTTTTTCGGTTGCCGCTGTGTTTATTTAATTGTTTAGTTTGAAACTTGTAACCATCACGTCTAATTGAAATCCACAAAATGTGTGTTGAGGATCAGTTGGCGGCGTGGATTGAAACAACCCGATCTATTTTTTATTTATATATAAATTAGCACCGAATTGGCATCCCCATAAATCCTAACCCTCAACATGCTA